TCAAATCTTTACATATTCGTCAATTTATATGCAAAGTATATATACTATTAATAAATTTGGCAGTATATGCCTTACATAAATTTAATATAAAAACTTATTTGATAAAATTATTTAGTTTGGATATTTACATGTTGATTTAGCATTAAAAAAATTGTGATTTGAATCTTTTTCCATATGTCTCACATATATATATACCTGTAAAACACATATAATATTCTTTAAATAAACTCGTAGTTCGTTTTCTACTTAGAAGGGTATCTATATATATATATAATTACTAGCTAATAGCATTTAATAAAACCTATTTAATTTTACCTATGTGGCAATTTAACCATTCCCTCCAAAAACCGTTACTTTTGATGTATTTAATCTTTCATTTAATTATTAAATAATCAACACTAATCACTACAAAATTATAAAAATCATTATAAAACTTTTGATTACTTACAATTACCTATATAATGTGTTAACCGTATAATGTGATTAGATGTTATTATTGTGGTTACATTTAAATTTCTTTTTTTTAAAATAAAAAAACGTATTTGAAATTTCTGAATAAGTAATAAATAATTCACAACAGAAGGGTCGAACGTTTGACCAGCAAAAAGATGAAAGAAAAACTTTCTTAATAGTGTATTTTAGTGGCAGAGAAACACACTCACAAGTATTGATTTGGTATATAGAACTTTCTATCGTATAAACTTTATTCCTCTCTCCCAGATTCGTAATAGTGTATTTTTGCCATAAATGAAGCCAAAAATTTAATTGTAAGGTAGAGGCCCCAAACATTTTTTTTATCATACAATAAATAAAGTTAAAAATCTAAAAACTACGCTGTTTTTATTTATCGAGAAAGTACTTCGGTCTTTTTTCCTTTTGTACTATGCTCTACATCATTAACTAAATTTGTCTTCTTTGATGTATTATGGATATTGCCGGAGAAGTACACCATTTAGAGATTTAATTTTATAGTTTGATAATGATAATCTTTGTTCAAATTATGTCAAATTATGCATAATATATAGTATAGTATATTTAATTCGACAAACGATATTTTGCGTAATTGGTCTATTAAACATATAAAAACCTATAATGTTAGAAATCGATCTATAATACTACATAACTAATTTACATCAAAATGTGAAGCTTGGCGTATAAAACGCATGTTTGTATAAACTTAAATATGCATGATTATTACTTTTATATTTTATAGTTAATGTGTAAATAAAAATTGACGCACAATTAATATAAACTAATTAGGAGCTATGTTCATAACATGCAAAATAAAATAATTAATATAAACAATATTATTATATCAATTTTCAATAATTAGGGGCTATGTTCTAGTGCCAAGAAAAACAAATAATAATTAAAAA